CTCCATTTGTGCTTCTGTGCAGTTACAAAGCCCAAGCACAGGCAAAGAACTTTTAGCTGTCAGAAAGTTGTTCATTTTTGGTGAGGGTGTTTTTGAGGATCTTGAAGATGTATTTTTTCCTACAGAATTTCATAGCACTAAGTTCTCTTTAAATGCTGTTTGTGGTTTATAATTCTATAGACTATTATTACTTACAAACTCAAAAGAGACTTGTATTTTCATCACCAGGAATGGGACTGCTTGCTTCCTGAACATTAAGAAAGGATGCATGTGAATACAAGTTTGGGTCTGCACTGAATTTTGTTCATTGATGTGTCAACATATTTTTCTTTTGATTTTACTGTTTCATAGGAGAAGGGGTTGAGGGAAGTTAGTGTTTCAGTTACTCGTCATTTAAAAGGGAGTGCATCATGATATGACAGTGTTTATCTGGTTTTTGTTTTACCACTTCATATAGTCTTTTAGTATCATAATTTTCCTTCATTATGTCACATGTCAGATCAGGACAATAGTGTCCTGGTGTTTTGGTCTAACTCAGGAAAAGAAATTTCAAAGTTTCTCATCCTGCCTTCAGCAGTAACTTTGTAAGCGTAAGTTTCATTGCAAGTCAATGAATCACACATTCCTGTGTGCTACAGCCCTTTTGAAAACAGGGTTTTAGACATTTTGTTTTTCATTCTTTAAGAAATAGTATCCCATATGCTTGAAATGCTGGGGTCTGGGGGGGAAAAGAGTCTGAATCTTCAGGTCTTCTGAAGTTAAATTTGACTTTGTATGGAAACTGTATGTTGTGTGTGTTTGTGTGGGAAGGGGCAGGGTGGAATGAAGATTTTTATTAAAGGAAGTGCAAGGGTGCAAGTTGGGGGTTTCAGGAAGGTTTTGTTGGAAAAATTATTTGTTAAATGAAAAAGAAGTATGCCAAAAAAGGGTTCAGCCCAAGTAATTGTTATAGTCCATGCCATTTGAAGGGGCTGTCTGCAAGGGAGAATTGCTGAGGAATACCCTATTTTTAAAAGGAAATAGACAAATGAGAGCAGTTACTCTGGTGGTTTGTTTTACCCCCTTCAGAAGTACCCCTTCTCTTGGCTTGTCTGAGACAGCTCTAAATTTAGAAAACATATCAAACCACAACATTGTGAAGGAGCACACACAGGCATGTAAAGATGTCTGTGGAACCCTCAGTGGTGTTTCAGTATCCAGGGAACACTGCACCTGCTTGTGCTGGAAGCTGGAAGACTGCCACTCTTCATCCTTTGTTCAGCTTCCTTTGCTGCAGGAAGCATAGAAGACAGCAACTAACCTTATCGTTGATGTTAAATAATTACAGAGGAGATGATTTCACCTTCAAAACTTACCACCCTTGCACTCACCAGCCCAAATGCCTGGAACCACGACTGTGACCAAACCAACTAATTTCATTGCAACCCCTGCCATTTTGCAGTTTCCTTCTCACTCTGAGAAGCACCTCACCGTGAAAAGGAAGGGGTTAATGACAGTGAAGACAAAGGAGAAAGGAGGGTGTTTGCTTTCCCCACTGCTACTGTTTAAAGTTTGATATGGCATCTTAAATAACTTCCATGCCCCATGCCCATTTCACTGTTCAGACTGAGAATGTTGTGTTTCCCCCACCTGCGATACTTGGCTGTTATTTGTGGGTTGTATTATTATTATTACTTTTCTAAGCCTTTTCTCTCTATCTTTTTTTTTTCCTTTTTTTTTTTCCCCCTTTCAGTCTCTTTTCCCTCTGCCCCCAACAAAATAACATGATACAGCCCCAAATATCCCTGGTTTATACCTGTAAGAACTCTTCATGTTTTGTCAATTAACCATTTTGTGAAAATTACATGCAGGTTTGTATTTCCTAGTAGGGTTTTGTTTCTGGACAAAGCTGAAGAGAACTCCTAGGAGTAACGTGAAGAAACATTCCTTACATAGGTGTGTCTTCCTGAGTAATGAGTAATTAAGTGGTTTGGTCCACATTCCTATTCCCTAGTGTCTCTGATTGTTGCGACTACTTTACCCTTTCAAAACAAATGGTGTCGTAGGAAGACCTCCCCCTTTCTGCACAGGGCTGTACCATAATGGGATTTTCAGACTTGCCTTCTTTTTGGCTTCATTACCTGCTTCTAACAGACTGTTTTGTAACTCAGTTTCTTCTGCTGCTTTTGTGTGTTGAGCAGTGGCAGAAACAAAATCATATTCTAACAGAAAACCTATCTAGCATCCGTGATCAGAGAACAGCTTGCTTGCTCCTTAGAGCTTTATTTGTCTGTTTGAATATTGTGAACAATGATATCACAGGTATCAAAGCATAACTTTGCTCTTCTCCTGATAAGAAACTTATTAGTGCTGCTTACAAGTCTGGCATGACCCTCTTCTCCTGAGCCCAGCTGAGGAATTTGAAATTAGCCTTGTGGAATTCGAGTTGGTTTATTTTTTATTTTTTTAGTAACAAAATTTTATGGTTATTTAACCCATTCAGATCCAGATGGGATCAGAATCCAGATGGGATTTCAGAAAAGAAATCTTTTTTCTGGATCTGGGAGATTGATGAAGTTGTTCATATTAGAATTTAAGGGAATTTTAAAAACAGTTGCATGTAGCTAAGTGTTTCTTTCCTTGTGATAAGTGGAAGTAAACTGATTAAGTATTTTAATACTAGTTGTTCCCTATTTCACTTACATTTTTCTTTCTATTGATGTTTCATTGGAACTGAAATTATGAGCACACATTTGGCAAATACTGTCAATTTTTAGGTATGTACTCAATCTACCTTTATTAGGCCAAAGGTAGATTAATGGTAGTATGTCCTTGTCCATGCCAAAACCCCATGTTTAGTTATGCTGTCTTTTAAACAAAATAATTCAGTGGTGATCTTTAGAAATGTGGCTTAGTCAACAGCTTCATGATGTGCATGCAGTCTTTAGGAGATTCTCTATTCAGTAAGCCATCTCAAATATGCTACTTAGTAGTTTCTTGGATGAGGACAGGAATACACACATGCAGAAAAAGGGGTTCTGAAAAAAGGACGTGTTATAATCCCATTGTGGAGAACTGAAGTGATTGCTCAAGTGCTATGTAAGACAACTGCCAGAGATATCTAAGAGCTCTCTTTCCTCGAAACTGCTTTCTTCACTGACTGTAATAGTTCATGAAGAAGGTGAACATCCTAAACAAAGTTGTTCCATTGCTTATGTATCTGTAGTGTATGTAATAGGCTGCCTGTGTTTCTTGGGAAGGTAAACCTCTAAGCTAAACACGCTTACTTACCAGTTGCTGGAAAATTCAAAATTCTGATGTTCTTTGCTGTTTGTTACTTCATTTAAACTGAATTAAGTATTATAATTTCAACTGTTGACAGTCCTACTCTGTGCCTTCCCTGTGAGAACTACTTACTTGTGCGTTGGCAGCTTTTGATGAAATGCCCTCACAGGTGAGCTATTAACTGGAATTACTCCAGTAGCGCTATTGCCCATTCCAGGGAGGCTGCTGAAATAATTCCTAGGATTTCATAACCCTTAGTAGTGTGTTTGGGTTTCACTGACGTCTGTCCGCATCTTTCTGTGTAACACTGATGATACAGTGTAGGCAAACAGCAGGAATAGTTACAGGTGTATGCAAGGCTTCTTCAGTTTTTCTGTTAAAACCCACTGTGTAGTGTACCTAGTAGGTTGTTTCTTGACTTTGTATCAAAATAGCAAGGTGGAAAGTATATCCTACTACCTTTGCTTATGTCATTGCATCCTCCTTTCTGAACTGCTTAGCAAAATCTGTAAAAACCAAATGATCTGGTAAATGTACTTTAAAGAGCAAATGTTAGTTGGTTGCACATCTAGGGTACTACAGTTCAGGTAAACAGGGATTATTCCTTCATTCTTACAGGATTATATTGAGAAGTAGTCCTACCACATCAGTGATTATTTGAAAATAAAATGAAGTTGTTTTTTAGCTGCAGTTGCCCTTGTGTTCTAATCTGTAAAATATCAAGTGTTTACATGGTCATTGGTATATATTTAGTTTAATTGGTATTGAACTCTAAAGAGGGGGACAAGCACCACAAAAAGTCTTCATGAGCTGTATAAAGTATCTTAAACAAGTTAGTCATCTTGATACTGACATTTGAAATACTGGTTTAAGTTTGTGTTTATTCAAAGCAAAGATAGTGTAACTGATTTCAAAGATAATCTGATACCAAGTGCTTTTATTTTCTGCCTTTTTTTTATTTTTTTCTTTCTTTGAGTGGACTGCTTTGAGAGCAGAGCAGGGGCACTGATACAGCTTTTGCCTTGAAGATCTGAACAGAATGGAAAGGAGTGGTGGGGGTAGTATACTAACAAATGGGATGAGTTTGAACAACATTGGATGTGTTGTGTCTAATTTGTTTTGCTGAGAAATGTTGGTAAGGAATAAAATCTTTTGGATCAGAAGTTAAGATAAAAATTTGAGCTTATTGGTGGTTTTAAGTGAAGAAAATACAGCAATTATTGTGTGATCTGTTGTAGTTGGAGCAAGGAGGTACTATTGAATCCCTGAGTGAAGTCTTTATATCGTGATTTTTTTTTTTCAATGTCAAGCCCACATGAAGATGACAGCATAGGTTGAAATAATCTGACAGCCTAAATGACACAAAATAGGGTAGTGCAAATGTGAACTGAATGTTTTTATGAAGTCTTGTAGTCAGCATTCATTTCAAAGCTTCCTTCCCAGCCTATCTGTGGGTAGTATTTCTCTTCACATATAATACCATATGCTCTGTGTCTCTGAAATCTCGTTGAGAAGAGCTTCACAGATTTCTTTCTGTATGAAGTACCACTGGACATTTGAACATAAATCTTCTCAGTTCTGCAGTTTCTTTGTCAGCAAAGCACATCTAGCTTTTACTTCCCTGAATTATTTCAGAATTCTGAAGCTTATTTGCATTGTCTGTAATATGAAGATAATGAGCTTACTTCAAATACAGTAATGAACTTTTCTGTTTTCTTGTGTGTATTGTTCTGCAGGTTAAAGTGTGTGTGTGTGTGTGAGAAATCGAAAAAGCCAAGAACGTCTTTGAGTAGATTTTTCAACATGAATCGTGCTTTTAGCAGGAAGAAAGGTAAGTAATTTAGCTTATATTCCGTGGGAGATGTAAATGTCCTGTATAAATTCTTTAGAATATAAAGAATCATATAAGGAAGTAGTTATGAATAATCACACGTAATTAACTAGGTAAAAACAGTCAGCCTTCTCTGAGATGTACAGAGCAAAGCATTCTTGATAGATACTTGCAGAGCTTTATGGATTGTAAGGCTTAGGTTGAATTTCATAATATTTTCTTGATTGAGGCATCTGCTTGTATATATATATATATATATATATATATATGCACACTTTTTTCTTTTTTAACCCTGCACACTCCAGAGCATGTGCTGTAGGTTTTTAGAAGTTTTGAAGAGTTAGTGACTTCTGTATTTATTATATATATATATTAATGGGTTCTCAGTCTTGGGAAGCTACTTCAGAAAACTGTTTAATGTACTTAAGTATCTCATGCAGCAGAATAATTCTTAGTTTTTAGAAGCTGTTCCGAATTTGTAGCAATCTTCAAATTGTATGCCTTCCAAAAGAATATCAGACCACTAAATATTTAATTATGTATGTTTCTCTTCTGGCCTGCTTTATTCTCTTTTCGTGGTCTGTTTATGATAAAATATAAGCTGAGGTTTTTTAGATGGAGCATTTAGCCCAACCAGAAAAAGGCATTACAAAAAAAGCTGTCAGATGTGATGAAATGCAATTATTGCGGATCTTAAAAATGATCCAGAACTTGAGCAACCAGGAGATTTAAATACTGTCATCCATTAATTTTATTCATGGTATTTACTCATGAAATTTACTTATGTTATTTCCATTCTTGTATCCTAGGAAAAATGCAAATTTTAGTTAAGCACTTGTCAAGGATAAGTGCAAATTGCGTATTTTTCATGCCAACTGAAGTTGGGAAAAACTTGGCAGTATTAGTATTCATCTCCAATAACTGTATTTAAGAACAGGTTCAAACACATTCATTTGATGAAATTATTTTATTGTATTTCCTGGTTTTACTCCCAGAACTCAGGGATACCACAGTTTTCGTGCCTGTGTTTGGTGGGTGGTGTATGGGTTTCTTCTGTGCACAAGAGCATGGATATTTTGAGGAGTTAACTGAGTGCTGTGGCTTCACTAGCATCTCTCTCTCTAAATCCAAATTAGTCTCCTGGTGACTGTGCTGGTGGGGTTTGTGGTAATTACAAGTTTGTATTGGTCTGTTGCCCTAGAACTACATGAACGGCAGTCTTAAAGATACAGGATTGTGAGGGGAATTTAAACAAATACAAGTACTTTCATAAAAGCCAAAGGTTATGTGAATTATGCAGATTTCTGGAGTAAGTGTCCCCTAATTTCCATGGTCACACTCAGTCTATACTAGACTTTTAATACAATGCATACAGAGAAAATAGTAGTGCCATATCTTCTTGAACCAGGTTAGCTGGTGGCTGGAATGGCTTGGATTGTGTTGTACTTGAAGAGCTCTGTACTTGAAGAGCTCTGTTCTTGCACCATCACCTGATTCAAGCAACAAAACTTTCCTTCCAGGCGTTCAGGAAATTATTTCATCATTGGCAGACATCGGTAGACAAACCAAGAAGAGAAGCACTAAACTCAGGCTTTCTTGATTTTTTATTATTTTTTATTTAACTGTTGGGGGCTGGATAGCAACCTGTGCTTTCATGACCAAGTTGCAAAGGAAATGTGAGTTGCTAGGATAGAAAGGAAGCGAGATCTTTTTTAAATTAACCCCGATTCTTTAAAGAAAAAAGTTCCTCATAGATATGATGTGACATGATTGTTTATGTGCATTGAGTCTGTGTTATGGGAAAAGCAGGTTTGTCCTAAATCAGAGTAGAGCACAGACTCCATTTTGGATATTACCAGTAATGCATTTTGCAGCAGAAATTTGTGCTACAGCTGTCATATCTAGAGCAAGTACTCAATGCTATGATTTGGGCATGAAACAGCCACTTCAACTGAGGTGTACTGAGTGCTCTCACCTTAAAAACAGCTAGTAGTCGCCTGTCTTGACTGCCTGAGATTAAGCACAAACCAGGACTTCTAACTGGATAGTTAATGTTTGTATTATAGATGTCATTATTTTTATTTGTTTGATAGTAATTTTAGTTAATACACTTCAATCTCAAATTGAATAAATTCAGGCTGTTCATCTTTCATCCTAATAATGACTATGAAAAATACAGGAAAATGAAGTTTAAGCAAAATCAGTTTGTTTCAGGGAGCACTTACATAAGTAATAATAAATGGAATCTTTTAGCAGATAAGAGTTGTGATAGCTATTCTCATCAATTAGCCATAAGCTAATAAAACAAGGAAACAAACTTTATGAACTAATAAATCTATTTAGCATTTGCTAAAGTTGCATGTTTAGAAACGAAAAAGCTTAGTACCTGTTTGAAGTAAAATAGCCTTTGTCTTGACTTCAGTACAGGTTGGCTGGACTACCAGTTACATGTGTTAAGAAGAAATCTCTGTCGCAGAAATCTGACTATACAAACCCATTTGTTTCATTTATCAGTGAATGCAGTATACTCTATTGATAAAGCTTATACAGATTTATTTTTTTTTTAAGGATCTCCCACAAAGCCAAATTGAAGAACAAGTGTTGTTATGTATGTTCTTGCTGATTACTTATTATGACAAAGCTTGTGAAAACATTGATGTATCTATCACAATATAAGTAGCTTGCTTTTTTATGTGAACCATGTTGGGTCATGTTTTCTTGAAGGGTCCTCTTAATTTTACCTTCAAAGTCAGGTGTGGTAGTATGTTCTTTGAAATGTTGCAGTGCAAAAATCTTAGTGCAGATCACAGTCTGTTCATCTTGAAATATGTTTGTATCTTGATAAATTCAGTCTCTCTTTTAAGCAATTTAGGGTTATTAATGTAATTCTCCTGTAAAAGATCTTTGTTAATGCTATATTTTAATGTAATTTTTCCTCATTATTAGTGTATTGACATCTAAACTGATTTGGGTATTTGTCCTTAATTTGTATGCGATTGTGTGTATGGGTAATATGTATACACAAAACAGAAAGTATTAATCATGGGATTTTTTATTTGGTTTGCTTATTTTATTTTAGGGAAGGGAGGTGCTTCTCACAGATGAGTTTGGCATATTTTACTGATTCGATGGCTTTGCATTCAAAACCATTAGTATAAGAACTGGTGCATAGAAGTAAACAAAAATTAACTAGTGTTTATTACTACTACTAGTGGCTTTTCCTCACCAGAAAGGGGTAGACCTACTTTTCCTTTTAGGAAGAGACATTTCTAAATATGGAATGACTGTAATCCAAACCTGCTGGAGTTAAAAGAGTGAAGCTACTGAAGTGTCTCAAAATAGAGATAAAAATGTAGGTATATAGGTCTACTTTGGGCTAACTTTAGTACTGAATTACAATGTATGAAATCCAGTGAACTTCACTGGGATTGTGGAGAGTGTAAATCACAGTTGAATTTAGTTCATTCTTTATTACACACTAATTGTCCTCCTTCACCACAAAATAAATGTCAGCCTTAGTTTATGTATGGCATTAAGTTCAATGCCAAAGCTGCAGTTGTATCCAGGAATCTGAATTTTTTTGAATATTTTTATTCCATATGATTTCAGTTTGTAAGGTTGGTAATTGATGCCACATAATCAGCTCATGAGATGTAGATAGTGTTCATGATGCTAAATGGAATACATTGAAATAATAGTCTGTCATAAATCATTAAATTTCAGCAATAACTTTTCTGTGCAATGGCTTTTTATGAGTCTCATTTATGGAAGATGCATTTAATGGGCAGGGCCTGACAAAAAAATTGCAATCAAAGATTATAGGATGCTCTTTTATGGGTATGGACTGGCTATAATACAAATTTCATTGTCAAATTATGCTGCATTCCAGAGATTGCAAATGTTTTAGTTTATATTTCTTTTTTTTTTTTAATTAGACAACAGAAGGGTGAAGGGGGTAAGTTTAGTCCTAAAGCAAATATTTTCATTCTGTCAGGGAGAATATTTCACATTAGTGATTTAAACAAACAGGCTGTTCTATGCTGGACTTCCACCTTAACAGTAATGATAAAAAACATGAAGGAGGAGTAGGTACTCATACACCTTAAAGGCATATAAGTAGTCACAATCTTTGTCATTGCATTCTTTAGATATTTTTGTCATGACACACTAACTTTTCATAAAAGAGCTTATCACCTTCCAGAAAAAAAAAAAAAAAGCTCTAAATATCCTCATCCTCCCTCATCCCCAAAATGCTGCTGCTTGATTGTTTGTAGGATTTCTTTAAATATTTTTTTTTTTTTCAAGAGTAAATGTTGAGAGGAAAGAAGGGTACTTTTTTGTATACTAAATATTGTATTCAGTTGGTCTCACTTCACACAAAAAAATAATTAGATTAATATTTTTATAATACAAAGAGGGTTTATCTGTTCCAAATACTGCGCCTTGGGCTTCAGAAGAGGAGTTCATGTGAAAAGCCGATATTCAGTGACCAAGTGCCTCTTTTGGATTGTGCATTTGTCTCTGCGTGTACTTGTGTGCAGCTGTGTGTGTATTTATATTCTGAAAGCAGAAGGAACAAATCTTATTGTTTAGGAAAGAGATGATTACAGCATGTATTTAGAGGGTGCATAGTTACAAATGAGGAGTATGTTTTGGAAACTTTTTTTTCTCTGTAAGATTCATATTGAGTCTGCACAGATAATTTAGCCTAATACCAAATAATAAAGCCTGATTTTTCTTTCCTTTCTGTTAACATAAGAATGGGAGAGTAATATCTTGTTGACTGTTTTATCTGCATTATTTTTGGAAGGATATTGCAGAAATAATCTTATCTGTCGCCTGCTTTAAAGAATATTCTAGACAAGTTAACAATCATATTTACCACAATAACTCTTTGTTGCTTCTGCAAAACCTAAGGAGCTCCTTTCAAGAACATATATGCAGTGCTTAACCATAAAGCACTGAAAACTGACTTTAGAATGGGAACAGCATTGAAGGAG